AACCTCACTGTTCTCCATTTAGGGAAATTTGTGATTACACTGGGCTCACTCAAATAAAGGCATCCCTGGTGGCTCAGCTGGTGAAGAATCTGCTTGCAGTGCAGGAGATCTGATTCAATCCCTGGTTTGGGAAGATCCCCTGGAGAAGGGAAAGGCTACCCACTCCAGTATTCTGGTCTGGAGAATTCCATGGACTATATAGTCCATGGGGTTGCAAAGAGATAGACAAACGGAGTGACTTTAACTTTCACCCAAATAATCCAGGTTCATCTTTGTATTTTAAGGTCAGCTGATTAACCACCTCAATCCTAACTGGAACCTTAATACCATGTTTTCATGTAAGTTATCATATTCACAAGTTCTGAGGATTGGGAAGTAGTCATCTTTGTGAGGATGAAATTACAGTGCCTATCGCATCCATTCATAGGGAACTTAGTTAACGATTCATAGGGAAATTAGTATGTCATCATCCTCTCTATAAATTGTGAAGTAGTTCAAGGACAGTTATATTCCTTTACTAAAGGTAAAGTAACTGGACATCATTTTCAAGGTCAGGAAACATGTTCAATAGGAAAAAAATGTGATTTCTAAGTTATAAAACATCTTAAGAGGAGGCTGCACTATCAAGTATTTTGGACCAATTCTAGTCTTGAAGTATGTATTTCTCTCCTTATTAGATTATTAAGTACAAATCTTATCCTTATTTAGTAATTACAACATCACATTTTTTTTGCATATTTTATCGGTTAAGATTGACAACATCTTAAAGAATCACTCAGCACAATGGCTGTGCATAATGAATACTAACTAAATAATTAAACTCTTATTATTCCTAATAGTCTTTTAGATAGGGTGGTGAAAGGTGAATGAGATAAAGAGTGTTCTGTCCAGTATCATGCCATAGGTGGAAGAACTGGGATCTCCAAACTTGTGCATTCATCACAGAGAGTGAGTTACAGTTGCACAGAGCTTCCCACAGAAACTAGTTTTTTGAAGCAATGCTTTCTTATAATATTAAACCCCCAAATATAATTGATTCAGCTTCTCCTTAATTCATTCAGTATTTGATAGCATTAGAAGAAATAGAAATGTGCCAGAGAGGTTAAGTTATAGTCTACTCTTAATGAAATCTTCTGGAGTATTGAAAATAAAGTCTTTTACGAAGGATTGGGAAAGGTGATTTGTTCTTGCCTAGAATAATGATTTTATATATAGATGTCTGCTGTTCTCCTTATAGTCTTGAAATCTGTGGAAGCCACAACTCAAAATGACTCATCAAATGCCATGGTGACAGTGAACAGAAATATTTTGAAAGATATTACCTGAGGGGTTTTGCTCTGAGCCCAATTATAAGCAGACAGGCTTGGTCTGTGCCTTCCCAATGTATTATATGAATTGATGGCAGCACAGGGTGTAAAATACCAGCTAATTTGGTAGTACAGAGAGTCTACTAATTATAAAACAGTAAGTACTGAAGAAATGCTTGTATGAAAGTAAAGTTATCTCAATTATCTGAAAATTCATGATGTATTTTTTGTGGATTAAGATAATTTTAATGCCATGATTTTATAGTTTTATTAAATATTGAACATATTCCTATAGCACTTGATTCAGTCAGTTCAGTTAAATTCATTTAGAATACAAATTTATGTAAAACAAATAGAGAATTTAAGCATATTTGAAAATCAAGCGCAGATAATTTCCTCATTATTTTTTGAAAAGTGTATCTACATTCATTAGTGTGAATAATAAAGACCAGTTGTTCATGTGGATATTTTTACTTATTCTGAGCTATTGTAGATTCTCAAAAACCTTTCACCTCTTTGTTATGGGGCTGAATTCCTTTTTCAGATGTCTCAATACAAGAGCAGTTTAAATAATGGGACGGATTTTTCTAGTTGGGGAGACGGCTGCCTGCATATCTCATTTTTAAGTTCCAAGTCATTTCTCAAACTTGGGCCAACTACCCATTCTCTGTTTTCTCCTTATCTAAATGCTGGGGACTCTATTCTTTTCCCTTCCAGTCCTGCTATCACTCTGTAGTTACCTTGGGATTCCTCTCTCTTAACTAATGGTGAAATGAGACTAGATGCTTCTATCTTTTCCCTAACTCAGGGATCTTATAGGTTTACAACGACTCCAAAATACCCAGAGAGTTCCTCCAGGCTACAGTCCTCCTTACCACTTGCTGAATTTTCTACTTGTCCAGATCAAGCTGACTGATTGGATTTATAATGAAAGCTTAAAGGTAAGATTGTTGGTGTCTGTTTGCTAAGTTGTGTCCCACTCTTGCAACCCTGTGGACTGTAGCCCGCCTTGCTCCTCTGTCCATGGGATTTCCCAGGCAAGAATACTGGAGTGGGTTGTTATTTCCTTCTCCAGGGGATCTTCCCAACCCAGGGATAGAACCGGCATTTATTATGACTAACTTGCATTGCCTGGCAGATTGGTTACCACTAGCACTGCCTGGGAAGCCCAGGAGGAAGATGAAAATGAAAGTGAAGTTGCTTAGTCCTGTCCGACTCTTTCCGACCCCACAGACAGTAGCCTACCAGGCTTCTCCGTCCATGGGATTTTAGGGCCCCTTTAAAAAGGTGAATTCTTCACGGAGATCATTTGTATCTTTGGATGAACCATTACACCAGTGCTTGCCCTTTGATTTCATGGGATGGACATATAGAAAATACTGGCATCTTTTTGGCATATACGCATGCATGCTCAGTGGTGTCCAAGTTTGCAACCCCTGGGACAATAGACCACCAGGCTCCTCTGTCCATGGAATTTTGCAGGCAAGAATACTGGAGTCGGTACCCATTTCCTATTCCAGGAATCTTCTTGACCCAGGGATTGAACCCATGTCTCTGGTGTCTCTTGCATTGGCAGGCAGATTCTTTTCCACTGGGCCACCTGGGAAGCCCTTGGTATCAGAGAAAACTGTGGTTATCCATGTCTAGAAGTAGTGGGTGTCCTAGGCCCTGCCCTGCTACTTTGAAGGAATAAACTACTTGAGCAGAGCTGCTATCTCTTTCCTTACCTACAGCTGGGAAGCTGTACTTTAGACAAAAGAGTTACCTTTCTCTGGGTACTTCCTTGGCACTTTTTTTCCCTGGACTATAGGAATTCAGACAGTGTTGCTACTGGTTCATGTCATTCTACAATTTCCATGCTATCTCCCTAGCAGATAGAATTGGAGCAGTAAGAGTTTCATTTCTCCTACTGAGATATTCTCAACTACTAAGGCACATTTGTGTAAACATCAACACACTACCATGGAAGCCAGGCTTTTAGACAAGACTTAGTTTCTGTTCTGAATTCAACAGGTTTTCCAAATTGATGTGTTTGCACTATGTTCAAGTTTACCAGTGTATTTTTGTCAACGCTGAGGGTAGTGAAATCCAATTCCTGAAAGAGACTACTATTTGCAGAATTACAAAACATCTTACTTTTATTCTGAGGATGGCTTGAGTCTCTTCATCCTTTAGGTCTCAGGTTAAATATAACCAAGGGGACTTCGCATCACAACCAGTCTCTCAGTCTCTCTCAGTCCCCAGTTTGCTTGTCTTCCTAAGTACTTTACATATGTACATATTTGTTTGTCTCTGGTCTCTGAGCCCTATCAGAGTTAAGTTCCTTGAGAACACGTACTCATCCATCTTGTTCACAGCTGTATCCCAGGTGCCTAGCATAAAGCCTAGCACATAAAAAGGACCCAAATTTGCTGAATGAGTGAAACTCATGGCTTTTTTTGTGAAGAGATTTGAAACATGTTTTAAAATAAGGAAATTTTCCCTCCCTCCTCCCCCCCCCCCCGGCTTATTTTATATATAAACCGAGGGATTGATTTTTGAGCCTCATTAATGTTGGGTGACATTTTTATATAAACTTTTCCTTCGTGTTACATGAAAGTCTAATTTTACTGTGTATTAATAAACCCTGCACCAACATATTACGGACCTTTGCCCATGTCCCTTCCACAATTTGAAAACTTTTGGCTTTTCCCCTCACACTGATTAGCTTGGGCCTAATGTACAAGCCACTAAATACATAATTGCAAAAGAAAAGCGCGAGGGTGCCCTATTTCAAAACCTAATTCCAAAGATGCAAGTCAGATGAAACCGACCCACATTTCCGCCAAGGGTTTATCCTAAGAGACGAACTCTGGCCCCTCCAGCCAAGTTGGCCGACTGCCCCTGAAGTACAGGACACAGCCTTCGTTTCCCGATTTTGGGTCGCGCTTTACTTTCTAATTGATCGGCAGTGCTGTGTAAGCGCACGAGACCGTGGGCTCGGAGGTGCGTACTTCGGAGGCGTAGCCGAGCCATTCAAACCAGCGAATCGGCGCTCCCCTCGTCCGGCCACCTCTGCCGCGTCTTGGCAGATGCTCCACGGGTGCGCACGAAACTCCCGGGTCCTAACCCTCCTCCCCTGGCCGGGTACCCGCAGAGCTCGGGGCGGCCACTTCTACCCAGGAGGGAGTGAGGAGGAAGTTGGCAAAACTGCTCGAGCTCTAGAGCGGAGCGCCGAAACACCGCCGAGGGACACCCGGGCGCGCGGAGAGGGAGGCAAGCGGCCCCGCGCGAAGGGGGCGGGCCGGCTCGGGCGCTCGCATTTCCTGTGACAGGGGCTGCCCTACCGCTCCCTCTCCCGCGGGCGGCGGGACCATTTCCTGAATCGCTGAAGCGGAGGGAGGGCTGGGGCGCGGCCCTACCACGAGCGCAGAGGGCCGGGGGTGGCGAGGAAGGACAGGCGGAGGAACCGGAGGGCGACCGAGAACAGGGACGTTCTGCCGGGGCCGCGGCTCCCAGGTACCACGCAGAATCCGGACTAGTTCAGGCCAGAGCTCCTCCCGCAGGCGGGGCCGGCCGGCTGCCCGTCGGACGCCGGAGCATCCCCCCTCCCCCGAGCCCGACGTGGTTCGGCCCGAGAGGCCGGCGTCTCTCCCCCAGTTTGCCGTTCATCCGGAGCGCTCGGGACTTGCCCGTAGTGGTGACGGCGGCAACATGTCCGTGGCGTTCGCGGCCCCGAGGCAGCGCGGCAAGGGGGAGATTACTCCCGCCGCGATTCAGAAGGTGAAGCCGCGCGGCGTCGGGGATGCCAGGCCTGGCCCGCGTCGAGGAGGAACCCGGGGGTCGGGCTCGGGCCGGGCTTGTCGGCCCGGGGGCTTGCCGGGGGCGGAGGCGGGCCTGCTGGGCGGGCGGCTGTGGGAACCCGAGCCGCGGGGCTGCGCCCTAGTGGGTGGCGGAAGGGGGCGACCTGCTTCCCTCGCGGAGTCCTGCGCGCCCCCTCGGGTCTTTCCTACGGGCACAAAAGCCCGAGTAACCGCCGCCCGATTTCTCTGGGGATGGGGCGGCGTTCGCGCGGCGGGGCGCTTGCGCCCGGCGGCGGCGGCCGCGCGGGGCAGAGCTGTTTTCCGAGGCCCGCGCCCCCCGCGGCCCGCGCGTAGCTCCGGAGTTACTTTGGCGTCGCCCCGCCCCACGCGGTGCGGCGGCCGCTCCGGGTCGACCCCACCTCGGGGCCCGGGGGTGGGCCTAGGAGAAGTAGGAGCGCTGCTCGCTCTCGGCGCTCGGCTGCAAACTCCGGCCGAGTTGGGGAGCTTTCAGCAGAACTTGGGGGATGCTGCGGGGTACCTCGGCCGAGGCTCCGAGGTGGACGAGGGAGCACCCTCCAGACTTCAGGGATCTCTCGGAGCCCCTTCTCCCTTCCGGATCTACCCCCGGCCTATTTACAGCTGCAGCGCCAAGCGTAGGCGCCGAGGCTGCGGTGGTGAGCATGGTCCCTGCCTGCCTTCAGGGAGCTTAGGGTCGAGTGGTGGAGACAGTCTGAGCCTCGTGATCAGTTTCAGAAGACGTGATACACACGCGGGGAGCTGCGCTGTGGCCGCGGTTACTTGCCAGTTGGGAACACAAAGGTTTCTTTATTGTTTTCTGCCCCTTGTTGTCTTTGACTACGGCAGCATTCTGAATTTTAGTGAACCAGAGTTTGAAAAGTTAACTTGCTAAATTTTGCAATTTACCCTAAATAGTTCTGTTTTGTTTTATGCACCGGAACAAAGATGAAAATGGAAAAAAGTCAACTTTTAAAACCACTCAAGAAAAAAAAAACCACTCAAGACACCATCATATGCCTAGTAGTTTTTGTTAATAGGCTTCTGTTGACTCTCAGGCTCTTTACAGTGTGGCGTTTGACATTTGCCCAGCTGTTGCTTTTTTTTATGAAGAGACAGGCTTGGCGTTGCCTGAAAATGCAGTACTTTTGTGTAGCGTGCTGGGCGAAGTCTGCGGCCTGGCAAACAGCTCTGAGTATGCGTGCACAAAACATGTTTCTGGAAGGCTTCACTTTTTGGACTGTAGAAAAGTTCTGAGTTTGTACTTCTTATAAAGAGTTCTTACCTACATCTTAAGATAATTTATCGTGGATGACTAACTCAAGAGATGCTGATCAGTTAAAGTGTTCATCCTCAGCTCAGGAGAGAAAAAGGATCCACATTAAGTGCCTGATTGTATAGTGTGAGGGAATGACGTTAAGGTACGAGACAAACCCAGACGTTCTAATGGTGAAGATTGTTAAGCGGTGGAATCTACTGAGAAGATAGGTTGTGAAATCGTTAGGTTGGACATGGTATTAAAACACATTCTAAAGACAAATTTTTTGGCATCTGATGAGTAGATATAAGAAGAAAGCTGCGTTTGTTTTTTTTGAAAGGCATATTAATATTTTTTTCCACCTAGTAAAGACTGATTCATATGCAGAGAAGAAGTGACACTTTTAAATGGATCTTCATGTTTAATTAAAAGAATTACTTTAACTAAATTAGTGAGAAAGAGTGGTTATGGTATTAAAGCTTTCCTGAAATCCTGGAAGGGTGGGGACAGTTTGAAGAGGAACATCTACTCCTGTCCCTTGATAAATCTGAGCCTCTGACATCTTGAGTGGTTTGCTCAGGATAGCAAAACTGACAGTAAAACTGACTTTTTAATTGCTACATCAGTGCTTTTTCCTCAGTACCACTCTTCTTAGATGAATTATTTAATCCTTAAAGCCAATTTTGCTTTGAAAAGTTTTCATAGTATGATAAATATATGATTGTTTTTAAACTTTTGGGACAATTATAAGGTTGGCTCATAGGGTCTGTGGTTAATATTACAGTACCTACCTAGAAATTACTGGAATTAATGACTGCATATTTGGAAAATCACAAAACCATGCTGCATAAAACTTGGAGAAGACCCTGATGCTGGGAAGGATTGAGGGCAGCAGGAGAACGAGGTGACAGAGGAAGAGATGGTTGGCTAGTATCATGGACTCAATGGGCACAAGTTTGAGCAAGCTCTGGGAGAGGGTGAAGGACAGGGAACCTTGGTGTGCTTCAGTCCATGGGGTCTCAAAGAGTCAGACATGACTTAGTGACTGAACAACAACATAAAACTTGGAAGCTAGCCAGCTATCTCCTTAAGCCTCCTGTGCTGAAGTTTTCATCAGTTTACTTCATTCTGGATTAGGACAGATTAGCTTCCACTGCAGGGGGCACAGGTTCAATCCCTGATTGGGAACTAAGATCCCACAAGCTGGGCGGCAGTGGTTGAAAAAAAAAATTAAAAATTGTTGATTAAACATAACATCCAAAAGATATAAAATCAGATCTTTTGTGCAGAGCTGTATTGTAGGTATAAAAAAGACCTGTGGATTCAGTTCCTGAATAGATAAACTTTTCTAGAAATCTGAATTTTTTATTTTACTTGATGCATGAGATTTACAATAAACTTTTTTTTACTTTTATTTCAGATGCTGGATGAAAATAACCATCTAATTCAGTGTATAATGGACTATCAGAATAAAGGAAAGACCTCAGAGTGTTCTCAGTAAGATTGATATGAAAGTTGTTTTTTGGTATTTCTTTTTCTGTATTGGTTAGTTTTTTACTTTTCTTTCTTTTTAAGAATAGCTTTGTTGAGATATAATTCACATACCATATAATTTACCTGTTTTAAAGTGTACAATTCAGTGGTTTTTAGTATATTCATAGACTTGTACTACTATCGCTTTGATCAATTTTAGAACATTTTCAACAGTCCAGAAAGAAACCCTATCATAAGCATTCACTCCCCATTCTCACCTCTAATCCCATACCTGCTGATAACCACTAATTTGCTTTCTGTCTGTAGATTTGCTTATTGTGGACACTTCATACAAATGAATTCACTCAGTACGTGATCTTTTTTGACTGCTTTCTTTTAGCATCGTGTTTTCAGGATTCATCCATGTTGAAGCTTATATCAATATTTCCTTCCTTTTTATTGCTAAATAATCTTCCATGGCTGTACCACATTTTATTTATCTATCAGTGATGAACATTTGGATTGTTTCCTGGTCTTGACTATGATGAGTGATGCTGTGCACATTTGTGTGCAATTTTTTGTGTGACTTGATTTTTGTAAAAGAAAAATTTGTTACTTGGGCTGGAGGATATATCAGTTTTTTCCTTATACCACTTATCCTCTGTTATAAATGACTTCAAATTTCTATAGTCTGATTTTCGGAACAGTTAGATCTTCACATTAATAGTTACATGCATGTTCTATTGACTCTTGAATAACATAGGTTTAAACTACACAAGTGCACTTACATTTTTTTCTTTAGTGTAGATGTACTGCAGTGCTATATGATCTGCAGTTGGTTGAATACATGGATGCGAAACCAATGAGATACTGAGGGCTAACTGTAGGGTTATACTTGGATTTTCAACTACAGGTGGCTCTGTGTCTTCATCCCTTTTGTGCAAAGGTCAACTGTATGTGGTTGAGAATGTAAAGTTTATATCTAATAAATAGAGAATTGATTATCACTTGTAAGAACTGAACTTCTTATTTTAAAGTAATGATGTTTCGAAGTGAACAGTACCCTATATCTAGTAGGATCTGATAGAGTGGAAGAAATTGAATATTTTATCAAAAATCTTTATAACAGCACTGTCAGCAGAAATATATTGCAAGCCACATAAGTCATTCTACATTTGCTTTTGTGTGTGTGTGTTAGTCACTCAGTCATGTCTGACTCTTTGCGACCCCATGGAATGTACCCCACAAGGCTCCTCTGTCCAAGGGATTCTCCGGGCAAAAATACGGGTAGATAGCTATTGCCTTCTCCAGGGGATCTTCCGGACCCAGGGATTAACCTGGGTCTCTTACATTGCAGGCAGATTCTTGACCATCAGCCATCGGTAGGCACATTATACAAGTAGAAAGAGACAGGTGAAATTAATTTTAATAATACCTTCCTTAACTCATTGTTTCTAAAATATCACTTAAATATATAACCAGTATAAAAATACTAATCAGTTAATTTATGTTCTTTTGTTTCATACCAAGTCTTTGAAACCCACTGTGCATCTGATTCTACTGACATTTTGTACTAGCCTCAAGTTCACTGTGTCTAGTGGCTACCGTATTGGACAACTCAGTTCCAAGTACTTTTCTCCCACCGTTGTTTTGGTATTCATCTATTTCCTGGAGATCTCACTGGTCTGCTCTCAGGAAGATGTTTTTCATCTACCCTGGCTCTGCATGTCTTTCATGCTGTGCTGGTCTCTTGGCTATTATCTGATTAACCCTTTTCCTAATTTTGAGTCCTTCATGACTTCTCCATGACTTTTTCCCCTGTGCTTAAAATTATTTTTGAATTAAAATCATAAAGCATAAAAGTTTGTAGAGATGAAACTTTGTAAAATATTTATTTTAATTGGAAGGTAATTATTTTACAGTATTGTGGTGTTTTTTGCCATACATCAATATGAATCGGCCATAGGCATACACTTCTTATTTCTCACTCTTATCTCTATTCTCCATAGAGGTAACTACTTACAGTGATTTAGTTCTGTCTTTCCAAACATTTTTCTGTGCATTTACAAATTTGTGCTCATATTTATATAAACACATTTAGACATTTTGTTTTTAGTAGGTTAGAGTTTTATAAAAGGAATGGCTGGGTCAAAAACTGTGCTGAATCTCCAAATTACTCGATTGTATTGTATTGGTTTGCCTTCCTCCAACTAGGTTTCAGAGACCTAGTTTTCAACCATGTCTGCCAGCAGTGGATAGTGGCCATCTTAAAAATTTTTTTTAGATAGTTTGGTGAAGAGTGGTATCTCTTCCTAAAACTTTTTATTTTAAAATAATTTCACTCTTACAAAAAACGTTTCAAAGATAGTAAAAGAAATTCCTGTATGTCCTTCCCTGAAATTCCTCAAATGTTAACGTATTAGTCTCCTTACTATGTCATTCATTTCTTCCCTACATTGTTTTTCTGAAACATTTGAGAAAAAGTTGCAGGCATGATTCTCTCTCACCTTTATAATATCCGTGTGTATTTCATACATATTTCATGAAAACAGGCACAACTTAAGAGTCTAGTTGTTCAAATGAAGATTTAATACCGTTGTCTAGTTTCAAACTTTTTAGAAATTTTACCAGTTTTCCTGTTAGTGTATTTGCTCAGGTCCACAGTCTGGTACAGGATCAGATGGTATGTTTAGGTTGGTCTCAGAACACTCTCATCTGGACCTGTCCTTCGATTCATCCGTTCTCTTTCCTGATGTTTGCATTGTTGGAGAGTACAGGCCAGTTGTGGGGAATGTCCCTCACTGTGGAGTTTGAGCGCTGTTTCTCCTGATGAGATCCGTGTTTACATACTTTTGTCGCCTTCTCAGTGCATCCGCGGTAGCTGTGTGGCCGTGGTTTGTCCCAGTGTTCATGATAACTTTGGCCACTATGTTAAGGTGCTGTCATGCCTGCCAAGAGTTTTACTATAAAGCTACTATTTTTTCCTTCATGATTTCTACCTATGTTTTTGGGAGATACCTTGAGACACATGTAACACTGTTTCTTAGCCTATTTCTACATGTTCATTGTAACATCCACCAGTGATTCTTGGGGCTTCCCTGGTAACTCTGGTAAAGAACCTACCTGCCAGTGCAGGCTATGCGGGTTCAGTTTCTGGGTTGGGAAGATCTCCTGGACTAGGAAATGGCAACCCACTCCGGTATTCTTGTCTGGTAAATCCCTGCCAGCTCCTCAGTCCATGGGGTCGCAAAAGAGTTGAACACAGCTTAGTGACTAAACAGCAGTAGACATAGTGCTAAACGTCAGTAACAACAGTGGTTCTTAAACAGTTACTACTGTATTGGTTGCCAAAAGGTGACAGAATCTATCTTTCCTTCTTGTTTGGAATCCTACTTTAAGGAAGAAATTTCCGAAGCCCTGCTCCCATTCATTCATTCATTGATTTATATCTGAATGGACTTATGGATTTTTATTGTAGTCTCTGGATTATAATTTGTTAGTCTATATATTTTATTTTTCAAATTGTCCCAAATGCTGGCCACTGGCAGCCCTTCAAGCTGGCTTCTTGATACATCTCTTATTATTTGTTGAGCATTTACAGAATTTTCTTGCCTGACAAAATGTTCCAGGCTTATCTTGTATTTTTTTTCTGCCCCACTCTGGAATCATCCATTTCTCCAGGTCCTCGTTCTTTTTTTGGAAAATGATATTCAGAAATTAAGATCTGAATGCTAGGCTATCCTGTTTTCTAATCACTTGTGCATTTTGCATTTTATGTGACCACTGCCATTTCTTTTATGTGTATTTTCTTTGATGAATCTTGTCTGTTTATATGTGAAACATTCTTCTAAGAAATTAAGCTACTTCCTTAGCTTAACTGTGACTGATCATCAGTTGTTAGGAGATCCCTACCTCAAGTCAGCTGTGGAATAGTAACGATTGTGAGGCACTGATGAGAATGATCATTTTCACTTGTGGCTTTTTTCTTTTTACTGCCTTCATCCAGCACCTCTGCCCGGTCCACATTCCGCACCCTCCCCCAGGCCCCCGGTAACCACAAATCTAATCTCTTTTTCTGTGAGTTTGTTTTGAAGCATGACTGACCTATAACACTATGTTAGTTCCTGGTGCACAGCATAGTGATTGACCCTTCTGTACGTTACAAAGTGATCACCACACCTGTGACTTTTCAAAATGCCAGGCAGAGCCGAGGGCACAGGGTGGTTCAGTTTCCTATAGGCCTTGGCAGTGAGTGACGGGGACATATTCAGATCTAGAACCCTCTTTTCCAACTTGTTGGCACAAGTTCATCCTGTCTTATTCTTTATATTCTCAGTATTCTCGTGTATGTGATCATTTTCCTCTTTCTCGGCCTATTGGCATAGACCTCATTTGCTCACATAGATATATCTGGTATAAATGGGGCCTAAATTGATTTAGGTAGAATCTTAAATTCTGCCCTTTCTCTTGTATCTAATTTCATTCTTAGAGTTTTCCAGGTACTCTGTGTCTAAAGTTGTCAGAATTGGTTTGGGAGTGAAGAGAAAAAAAATCTCTCCTTTCAATGTTAATAAATGGTCTTGTTTCTCACAGGAGGAGAAGCTAAAGGAAAATAAAGAGAGATGTCAATGACAACCATTTGGGAATTGACTGTTCAATTTTAATTAAACAGTTCCTTAAGATGTGATAACTGCCTCAAGCAGAGTTTTTTTAGATAAAAAATAACTTTATTTTTATGAACACAGTATATACATTGTAGAAAATTAGGAAACACGGATATATAAAATTTACAGAATGAACACCATATTCTCATCACCCAAAGATTTTTTGCTGATTACATCAACTCCATGGATGATAGCCCACTAGGCTCTTCTGCCCATGGAATTTTCCAGGCTGAAATACTGGAGTGAGTTGCCATTTCCTATTTCAGGGGATCTTCCCGATCCAGGGATCAAACCTGCATCTATTGTGTCTCCTCTTTGGCAAGAGGATCCTTTACCACTAGAGCCACCTTGGAAGCTCTGTGTGTATTACTCTTTCCTCATCTACATTCATACATTCATACACACACATATAAGGCTGTGAATCACTGTTGAGCCTTGTACACCAAGCTCCTCTTCGCTTTAAATTCTGACAGTGTATATGTAAGAATATATTATTGCTCTCTTGTGGTGTTTGGTTTGAGCATTTTCTAAATCATTCCATGTATTTACTTAAATCAGCCCTTATTTTTTTTTTCCAGGGTGATTGCATCTATTTCAGAATGTGTTATAAACAATTCTCAAATGAAAAATTTGTGTTCATAATATAAATGAATTTTGGTTAAAATCTCTAGTTATGAAGATAACTTTTATTCTGTATGTTGTATTCCTATTAACCTATAAATATACTCTTCATAGCTTCTAGATAAAGATTTCTTTTTCAAAATGAAATCTCATGTTTTTTTATTCATTTTATCATTATATCAATACATTCAATTGTGGTTATCTAACTTTATTCGAGGTAATTGATGTAGTGGCTCTTTGTGGAATCTTTGGGAAGTGAACTGCCTCACATTTAATAGGTTAATAATTGAGGGTATTTGGAAATACCTGCCAGTATTTATTAGGCAGTTACCATCATCAAATATAAGATGTTGATTATGTTTTATATCTGCCCTTTTTTTATGTACTGTTTTCTTATATAAAATATACTGCTTTAGAAATTATAAGCATATACGTTAAAAACTGCTTCAGTGATAAATTAGTAGTATTTATAGAATAAAAAAGTTTCTCAGAAGAATATTTGTAGAATTGAGAATAAGCTTATTTGGTGAGTGTTGTAAGAAGAATGAAGAAGAAAATAAGAAGAAAAAAGAATTTCTTTCTTTTAGCAGAAAGAAAACCTAATGAAGTTGCTTACAAAAGATCCATTAAAATTTTTCTAGGTTTTACCAGAAAGAAAGAAACCAGAAACCAAAAGAAAAATTTTCTAGGTTTTACCAGAAAGAAAACCTAACGAAGTTACTTAAAAAAGACCCATTAAAATTTTTCGTTTTTACCTATCCCCTTACATTAGATAAAAAGATTTGGCTGTTGGGACAGTTGTAGCAATTTGACTGTGTTCTGTGGATTTGATTAACATTGTATCAGCATTCATTTCCTCCTTAGGATGGTTGTACTGTAGTTATGTAAGGGAATGTCCTTGTTTTTGGGAAACTGACAATGTATTATTAGCAGTGATGAGTATTATGTCAGTAACTGACTCTCAAATGACTTTGGGAAAAAAGTGTGTAGTTGCATGCATGTGTATGTTGATTTGTGTGTTTAGAGATAGTGTGAGACAAATGTAAAATGCTGACAGTTGGGGAGTGTGGGAGAAAGATATTTGGGAGTTCTTCATACTATTCTTGAAATTGAGTTTGAGGTTATTTCAAGATTAAAAATTAAGATTTGAAAGTTAGGGAAATGTTTTAACATATTTGATAAAAGGTGCTGTATTTGAAGATATTTAGAACTACAAGCACTTTATAGATCCACTCTCATTGCCAGTATTTTATAAATGGGGCCTAAAGAGTGTGGCAGATTAAATATTTTAATACTGATTTACTGAGTACCAGTAACCATGATTACAGTTTTTCTTAAAGGGTCATAAGTAAGCCATAGTTCTTAGTAACGTTGGCATTTTTATATTTGATAGGTCAGTCAGCAAATCTCATATCTGAATATGTGTATTAGAGCCTTACTGGTACTCAGAAAAAGAGGAAAACTTGAAGGAGAGCCTTTGAAATGCATTATATGTTCTAATTAAAAATGGCTGGTTGGTTTTTTAAAAATGGCAAGATTGTGGAACCCTGCACCTTAAATTCCATTTAAGATCCCTATGGAATAATGAAGTAGTTCCAGCTGGTGGTGCCTGTCAGTGCTGTTTGAAGAATTTCAGTGGCATAATTGTGAATAACTGCAAAATATTATTTCTTGGTCCTTGTTTGTATAAGGATCATTGTAACAATATGTCACGTGTCATTGAGCAGCGAAGTGTATAATATATGTGAGGAGGAACGTAAAGAACCTGTAGACTTGTTTTTAAACAACAAAAAAACGATAACAAAGGGAAACAAGGAAGATTTGGGAAGTGTTAGGTATGTCTTACCTCCACGGTGGTGATATTTTCACAGGTGTTCATGTATGTCCAAACATCAAATTGTACATATTGAATATGTGAAGTTCTTTATAAATATCAGTTATACCTCAATAAATCTAAAAAAAAAAACCAAGCAAACTACAAAAGCATAATCTTGTTAGTTAAGAAACTTCAAGTTCAGTGAGAAATAAGTTTTATTCCCCACTAAATAAGAAAAAAGTAATGAAACCAGTTTTTCGGAAAAAGAGTTTACTAGTTTTTCTAACAGCAAAGAATTTGCTAGGATTCCTTTTATGGTGTCTGTTTTAGAAAATTACTGCATTTGGGATCTGCAGTAGAAGGCTTTATTTTGCAGGATAAAGGTGTTTTTTACTTACTTCATAATTTTAATTTATATACTGTTTATTAGTAAATGAAATTCTAAAAGAATAATGATCTGATGCAGATTTTAAGTTTGTATTTTGTGTATTTACCAACACTAGTAATTGAATCACTACTAATTTCGCTCTGGTTTCATTGGAATTAATTTTTAAAATTATGAAGAGAGGCTTAGCAAAAATTACTCATAAGTAAATAAAATAGCAATAAACATGGTTAACCACTTCATGCCAATAATGAGAATTTGCTTTGTTTTTTAAAGTTAATTCGTAATGGTGTTGGTGTTCTGTTCTTTACTCCATCTCAGTGCTTTAGCTTGTAACTTTTTTTTTTGTAATTCAGTTCAGTCGCTCATTTGTGTCTGACTCTTAGCGAACCCATGGACTGTAGGACGCCAGGCCTCCCTGTCCATCACCAACTCCCAGAGTTTACGCAAACTCATGTCCGTTGAGTTGGTGATGCCATCCAACCATCTCCATCTTCTGTCGTCCCCGTCTCCTCCTGCTTTCAGTCTTTCCCAGCATCAGGGTCTTTTCAAATGAGTCAGTTCTTCACATCAGGTTGCCAAAGTATTGGAGTTTCAGCTTCAACATCAGTCTTTCCAAATAAATATTCAAGACTGATCTCCTTTAGGATGAACTGGTTGGATCTCCTTGCAGTTCAAGGGACTCTCAAGAGTCTTCTCCAAAGGAGTCTTCTTCACAAGCACCAATTCTTCGGCGCTTAGCTCTCTTTATAGTCCAACTCTCTGCTACTGGAAAAATCATAGCTTTGACAAGACGGACCTTTGTTAGCAAAGTAATGTCTCTGTTTTTAATTGGAGACACCTATTTATTGTCCTCTATATGCTAGGTCCTGATAGTTGGGCAGCACAACTGCATAAATTATTGATCACTGCTGTGGGAATGAGAATAAAAAAAGTGTGGTTTCCACCTCCTTTCTGACATTTTAACAGAGCGTGTTGACTGTACTTGACTTTGAGGTTTTTGGTAACACGAAAATGGCAGAGGAAAGGGAATAAGCATATCAGTTTCGTTGACTCCTTCATCCTAGATCTCTTTGTAAGTGTATTGGGTTAGCTGAAAAGTTTGTTTGGTTTTTCCCATAAGGTGTTATATATAATACGAAAAACTTGAACGAACTTTTTGGCCAACCCAGTAGTTTGTGTGGAGCCCTTACCTGTGTTAATATTCCATTTTCTATGCTGTACAATCTTGTACAAGGTATTAACCTTTCTACACGTCAGTTTCTTCATCTGTAAAATGGAGAAAATAAGAACCTTTACCTCATAGTGTTGGTTTGACGTTTAAGTATATAAAGCATGTTTATGTATTCTCTAGGAATATCTTGCACATGGAGAGAGCCTTGTGTTTATTTTTGTCTTTGTACTTATTTGCAGTTACTTTACAGAAGAACTAGGAAAAAATTGCAGTACTGCTGATGTTCATGCAACAGAAATCTCTTACTAAAAACTTGAGAAATAGAATGCTGTTTGTGTGTAAGCAGATAGGAAGAAAATGATTTTTTAATATTGACATTTGTTTTGTTTTAATAGGTATCAACAGATGTTGCATACCAACTTGGTCTACCTTGCTACAATAGCAGATTCTAATCAGAACATGCAGTCTCTCTTACCAGCAGTAAGTACCTTTAAAGTAGTGGGAAGTGTAGATAATTTTTATAGAGTTCTATACAGAAGGACCCATTTTTGTTGAGTGATTCTGAGGTTTGTTTAGGAAATCCTGCCCTCCTCTGAGAACATGAAGATATTTGTTTACATGATCTATTAGCTTTATTATTTTGCCTTCATATTTGATTTGAATTAATTCAGTTAGAATTGATTTGCTGCCCAAGGAAGTTACATCCATCCATCTATTCATTCACCCATCCACCTACCTATTTATTCATTTATTTTGATGTGTAATCACACAAATTATTTAAGAACAAATTTATAATATTTTAAAGCAGATCCCTATCCATCATGTATGTAATTTAATATGTGTCTCTAGCAGATAAGGACTGATATCCCACGTAACAAAATAGCCAGAATCTCTTAATGTCTTATAATAATCAGGATGTTTTCAGTTTTCCCCAGTTATCTAAAAGGAATTTGAATGTTTTGCCGATTGTTTGCCACAGAATCCAAGCGAGGCCCACTCTCTGCTTTGGCTGATCTGTGTCTTAGGTCTTTTTTAACCTGTATCAGTTTTTTTCATTCTCCATTTACTTACTGAAGAAAGAGGGTCACTTATTTTGTAGAATTTCTCACATTCTGGATTTGGCTGTTTGTAGCCTCATGATCCTTAAACATGTTCCTCCATCTCATTTCTGTTTCCTCTAAACTGGTAATTTATAGATGGAGAGGCTCGACCATAATTAAATTTAGTTTTATGTTGAAGATTTCATTGACTGCACCATGTGAGTGTTGCCTATTTTTTATTAGGAGGAACATATTTTGTTGTCCAATTTTTAGTGATGTTAATGTTGATCAGTGCTCACAATTGATACCAGTTTCATCAGTCCATTATAAAGTTCTTCATCTACCTTTCAGTTAATGGGTTTATCAGTCATTGGTGCTTGTTGGTTGGGTCCGTTGTTTCTTAAGATCTAAGAATGATAAATTTTTCACTTTACAGTTCCTCCCTCATTTTACTTCTTTTAAAGAGGAGAATTTCAGCAAATATTTGGTTATCTTAAAATAGAGAGTTCCTATAGGAAAGTCATGATAAAATCTTGATTTTATTCTTTATCAATTTTTTAATCAGTTTATCAATTTTCAGAATAACAAGTTGGTCTGTGGCAACTTGCAAAGGATGACCAAGGATTTTGTCTTTATTATTATCTGAACTTACACATTTCTATATTTTTAATGTGTGTAAATCCATTGAGACACTGTGATGGTCAAGTTTTCTCACCTTTGGTCAGTGGGAATCCCTTTCTTTGGCTTCTGTGCCCTGCTGACATGATTCCAGTATTCTTGTAGAGCTTCTTTACTTTAGAATTTATGAGAGAGATCAGACTGACTATATTTCTGCCCCAGAACTATTCTGCCCCAGCTGTTTTTTCAGCTAGCCTTTTTTTCTGTGGGAATTGATATTTAGAGACCACAATTTGGATGTTTGGGGCATTTGTTATTGCTGCGTTTGGTTGTTGTTCAGTTGCTAAGTTGTGCCTGTCTCTTTGTGACCCCATGGATTGCAGCCCACCAGGCTTCCTTGTCCTTCACTATCTCGGAGTTTGCTCAAACTCATGTCCATTGAATCGGTGATGCCATCCAACCATTTCATCCTCTCTCGCCCCCTTCTCCTCCTGCCCTCAGTCTTTCCCAGCATCAGGGTCTTTTCCAATGAGTTGTCTCTTCACATCAGGTGGCCAAAATATTGGAGCTTCAGCATCAGTCCTTCCAGTGAATGTTTGGAGCATTTTCAGTGGACAGAGGTAGTAAACATGTTTTTTTTTAAAGAAAATATTGGTGGTATTTTTCACCTCAGGAAAGATGTTTTTTTAAACTGAGCTTTAATTTTGTATATTAGTGTCTCTTCTTTTTCTAAAAAGCTTGATATCTTAACAACTTTATAGTCTTGTTTACTTTGTACTGCTACATATGTAACATAATTTCAATATAGCAACATTGCCACTAACAATAATAGGCTTGTCCTTAAGATAATTCTCACTAAAGATATATAATGAATAAATTTTGTTTTGAATCTGAAATAATGTGATTTTTTTTACCATGATCTTTTTTTTTTTTTTAACCATAATCTTGATTACCAGCTAGTATGAGAAATAGGTTTGATTTCATTTGTTTCCAGGTAGATAATTCTCTCTCAGCATTATCTATTGGGAAAACAAAGCAAAATATCTGTTCTCTACTTGTCATGACACCTGTATCATATATCAAGTGCCCATGTACCTGGGGGTCTGTGTCTTACCTCTTCTGTTCCACTGGCTGGTTTTGATGATTTCCTCCGTCCTGTCACACTTGTCATAGTCAAGACTTGTAATAAGTCTTGATGTATACTAGAGAAGTTCTTTACTTCTTCCTTAGGTTCCTTTTTTTTTTTCAAGACTATCTTGGGTACTGGTCCTTTGCATTTCCTTATACACTTAAACTTATCAGCGTGTTCACTATAATCCCATTGTGATTTTCACTGAGATGACTTTGACTGTCAATCAATTTGGGGAGAATTGATGTCTCTGCAATAGTGAGGCTTTCAAATCATGATCATTCCATATATTTTGATTTATTTAGTCCTTTCCTCCCTGTCAGTGAAGTTTTGTGATTTTTCCTGGAGGGGATTTGTACACCTCTCTTTGGATCTATTGCTAAGTACGTTGTCTTTTTAAGGCAGTTTTTAAATGAAATCTTTGTTTTTTTTTTAAGCTTTATTTTGTAACCGTGATTGCTGTTTACATAGAAACACAATTGGTTTTGAATCCCATAGTCTTGTTCAGTTTTTATCTCTAAAACTTTTTCTGTGGATACTTTCATTTTCTCTATTCACCAGTGTATCATTTGTGAATGAGTTTTGTTCTTTTCTTGCCAGTCTTTACACATTTTATTTATTTCTTTTGCCTTACTTCTCTGGCTAGGGCCTCCAGTACATTCCTGAGTAGAAGTGGTGACAGAGGACATCTTAATCTTGTTCCTGGTCACAGAGGAAAAGCTTTCACTGTTTAACCATTCCCTATGATGTTCCCTCTAGTTTTTTGGTAGATACCTTTAATCAGGTTAAGGAAGTTCCCTTTGTTTCTTTTGTGCCAAGAGTTTATATATTGAATGGATGTTAAGTTTTATTAAATACTTTTATTGCATCTAATGAGGTGATCACAGTTTTCTCTTTAATCTGTTATTGTGGTGAATTACATTGATTTACTTCTTAATGTTCAGTCTTGAATTTTTTTAGTAATTAACCTACTTTTTCATGACCCACTTGGTCATGATCTTTTTAAAAAAATTGCTGTATTCAGTTTGTTGAATTTTTGATCAAGATTTTTATGTGTGTTCATGAGTGTAATTGCCTTTTATCTTTCCTTTCTTATAATACCTTTGTCTCTTTTTTGTTTTGAGGTTATGCTGGCTTTATAAAATGAGCTGCAGAATTTTCACACTTTTTCTTATCTGGAAGAATTTGCATAATATTGCTATTTCCTAGATGATTCGTATAATTTAGAAAAGCCATCTGGATCTGGAGTTTTCTTTGTGAGGAGACTTTTATTTACCTGCTCAATTTTTTTATGGTTATAGGACAGTTTATGCATTTCTATATTTTATGAGATACCTATTTCAGTAAATTGTGCTTTTTAGCATTTTATCTAAAATTTCAAATTTATTGATAATAAAGTTTGTAGAATAATCCTAACATCTGTTAGGGTTTTATAGAATTTTCCTAATATCTATAGGATCTGTAGTGATGGTTTCTTTTTTTAATCCTCATTGTAGTTTATTTGTGCCTTCTCGTTAAAAATCTTTTTTGATCACAGTTGCCAAGTATTTTTTGTATTTATTCTCTTAATCTTTTTAAAGAATCAGCATTTGTCTTTGATCTTTCTTTGTTGCATCATTTCTCAAAACTCTGTCCTCAGAACTGCATCATATGTAAACATGACTGAACACTGAGGAGTTTCATATGTTTTATATATATGATATTTTATTTTACTTATTATACTACTATTCATTTAAAATGAGCAACACTAAACTCATTGCATGTTAATATGAGATTCTATAAAGAAAAAACAACTATATCTTTGAGATCTAATTTAGTGAGGTAAATGATACTGTAAATTTCTTTTGAATGTCTGGCTTAATAGAAAACATCTGTATTTTCACATTTACTTCTGAATTTGATCTAGCATAATATGTTGTGGTTGAAGTAGAAGAAAACCCAGTTCCACACAAATAGGAAGTTTGTAAAGGGAAGAATATTTTTAGCCTTTTCAGAATGTTGTGAATAATCTGATAGTATAGCACATCTTAGCAAGTGTTTTTTTTTTTTAAAGGTTAGTTGCAGTATGGAATCTGAAATTTTATCAGTACATTTATCTTATTCCGGTACCTTAAAGTTCATTGGTCTGTCTTGCATTTTTGGATGGATCTTTTACTCATGCATGATTTCAGAACATCATGATTTGGTCATCTGGTACATAATAAATTCACTTAGTTCTGCACATATTTTAAGTACGGATATGTTTCATTATGTGATACCAAAAACCACATTTGTTGAAATTACTGCCAGTCTCATCAGAAAAGTCTCTTATATGTTGGGATGCTGTCAAGCTCAAGATAGAAAATATGTTTGCCAAACTCCCATTTCTTCCTTGAAAAGTCAAGGATCATTGGCAATGTGATCTTTGGCAACAAGTACTGTCAAATTGTTTTCCAGGCTCACTGTGTTCAGTTTTGAGGAAGTGTCTGCCTGGATGAGGGTAATTTGTCTAGAAATTGTTCTTTGAAGTAAAGTTGGTGTTCCATGAAGGGAAGTGAAAGTGTTAGTCACTTAGTCATGTCTGACTCTTTTCGACCCCCTGGACTGTAACCAGCCAGGCTCCTCTGGCCGTGAATTCTCCAGTCAAGAATACTGGAGTGGGTTGCCATTCCCTTTTCCAGGGGATCTTCCCAACCCAGAAATTGAACCTGGTT